TAATCATAAAATATTTGACATGGACAGATTACCAGAGAATCAAAAAAAAAGCCCTGAGAATTCAAGAAGAACTCTGTCTTATTCACTGGGGCTTTATCTGGCGTCTGAGGGGGTGGAAACACTTTTCATGCAATGATTATGGATAAAATGGATGTACATACAGTGTTTGGTCATGTTGTATACATTTAATACAGAGTGTAAAAAGATGAAGCACTGCTGTTTCACTATCTAACTTTCCATCCTCACCTTTGCTGCTTGCCATTCTACTCAGGGTACATTAGGAGAAAACTACGGCTGAACAGGACTCCTACTCCTGTCCTTATTGCTCCTCCATGGACGCCTATAGCTAATAGATGTTGAATGTGTATTAGGCTATTTTCCAGTCCAGTCTTCAGGACCTCTCTGAAGAACATTACCTCGACCCTAGACTGGGAAACTGATGATGAAATCTAGAATGTATAATGAAAGTGTGATAACTTTGAGCATAGCTCCTTGTTTTTTTTCCCCATGCTTATTTATTACTATTTATAAGGCTGGATTTTCTATTTCACTGCAGGCTAAAATTCAGTTACTAGCAGTACTGCATTAAAGCAGTACAGTGTAACCATACCTTTTACATGTTTTGTATATTCTAAATGGCATTACATTTCCCCTTTTAAAATCTTATCCTGGCATTTTAAAAATATAAGGTTAGCATAACACATTTATCTGAAGTGATTTATGATGTTTAACGCTGATGCATCTGAAGGGTTTTTCTAACTTCAGCATTGCTACCAGGGACCTCAGATTGAGCTACCGATGATAAGACATACGTTTTGAATAATTTAATCCTATTATTTTATAAAATTCTAAAAAAACACCTCATTCATTTTTATGTATTCACTTTTGAGTGATAACTTTAGCACCTGCTTCAGTTTTTTCAATACAATCTTTACTGCTAATGCTAGTCAGCTAGTGAAAATTAGCTAACGTGACAGGAAATTTAGGATTTAATAAAATTTAAGATGTTCACAAGATGTGTACAGAATTTTAAAAATTAGTTTCAAGCGGGCAGCTATAAAATATTTAGCAATTTCACTCACCTGTTAATGAGGTTTTTGAGCCTGCAATTTAGCCTGGTAGCTGGCTAGTCAATTAGGTTATGCAGGGTAACTAAATATTAGCATATAAAGTTTAGCCATATTGTTTTCTCATCTAGAACTAGTGTTATTATTCACTGAACCGTACTCTATCATCTTCTAAATTTTGTGTGTACTGGTGTGACTACCAGTTGTGTGTGGATGAATATGAACATATATATTTTAAAATATAGCATAGTTATTCAGGGGGCATGGTAGCTTAGTGGTTAGCACTGTTGCCTTGCACCGCTGGGGTTAGGGGCTCAACCCTCGCCCTGTGTGCGCAGAGTTTGCATGTTCTCCCCGTGCTTTACAGGTTTCCTCCGAGTACTCCTGTTTCCTCCCCCTATCAAAAACATGGGTTGTAGGCTGATTGGCTGTTCCAAATTGTTCGAATGGGTGTGGGAGTGTGTGTGGTTGTGTGATTGTGCTCTGCGATGGGTTGGCACCCCGTCCAGGGTGTCCCCCGACTTGTCCCTCGAGGCCGCTGGGAAAGGCTCCAGGTTACCCCATGACCCTGTGTATGATAAGCAGTACAGAGAATGGATGAATGGAGTGATAGTTATTCAGTATTATGGTAAGGGGAGTGATGGGACACTGCAGTCCTCCTTGAGTGTATATCTCCGCTCTGTCCTATTCTCGCTTCAGTAAGTCTGTTGGGAAAGAAACAGTCCAGAGTCCCAGCCGGTGTGAGAGATATCTGTACGTAGCCATCAGCGCAGATCCCCTTGTTTTGGCATTAGCGCTTTGTGCTATTGGTGTCATGCACCTTTTTTTTTTCCCTCTCACTGAGTCATTCCTTCTTTTATTAAGCACACCTTAATATTACATAGAATTGTTACTGTATGGAAATAACTGAACAACAGTCACACTTTGCACAAATATTAAATGGTGATTTGTAATACAAAAGTAATAGATATATCAGGGTGGTGCTATTGTTTCAGAGATGAAATGCCAAGCAACTTTGTTCAGTCCATTCAAGCTAACAGGCTTTGACCTGGCCACTTGCATATGAGCTCTCTAATGGGAACAGTGTGTGCTGATTTGGCATTGAATTGCTACTGTGGTGGATGTGATTGACCTAGTTTTATTTTTTGTGGTTAAGTCTTTGATTTATTGTTTGTCTCTGAATGAGTGATGTTCATATTAGAGTTGCTTGAAATGGGTAAGCTGAACATGCTGGGGAGTAGGAATCAGAAGTGCACAATGATCCCAAAATGTAAAAGGTTGGAAAAAATGTTAAAATGGAACGCTATCTGCTGGCTTAGAGGATGCTAAGTGTACTATTACATTTACTGCTAAATATCCCTTTTAAAGCAGCTACATAATAAAGAAGAAATTCAAGGTGAATAGACCAGTATAGCCCAGTATTATTATTTAAGATGGTTTTAGATTGTGCAGTTGCAGTGTTCTTTTAAGATTATTACTTGTCACATTGTCTGATGATCCTAATAAAATCTTGGTTCAATTCTATATCAGACTGCAGTAACACAGAAAATGGGGTTGTGTAAACAGAAACAAGCCCATGGTGTAATAGGAGCAATGTTATGTCTAGAGAAAATGTTTGACCAGACAATATGCTTGCTAATTAGCTAGCTGCATACTTGAATGCTGTAATTCATCCGCTGTTTATTTCCATCTGACGTCCCATTTTGTGCTGTCCTGATAAAACTGTGATGAGACATGAGGCATTCTGTCTGCTCGGAGATTTTATCCTGCAGGAACTTTGTCATCGGCCATCTTAGCCAATATAAACTCACATCTTTGCCAACTGCCAATATAAACTCACAATCAAGAATTCTTTTATGATGTGCGATTTTTGTCAGCAATTACATACCAAAAATTGTACCGGGTAAAGCCGGCTTTAGCACCGGCTCTTAGTACAATGCCCACCTGACATCACTATGAAGTGACTTTAGGGATGTGTGGATGCAGGACAGAGCTTTTTGACTCAGAAAGCTTATCCATGAAAAAAAGATAAGTACCTATAGCCTTTTAGTGCACCAAAAACATGGTCAGAATTATGCACAATACTTTTCCATAGGAGGTGCTTTAATGGCAATGATGGTAGTGCTTAAAAAGTAATAAATATTATTTCATCATTAAATAGCCAAACTAACAAACAGCTTCAATAATGGCATAATGTTGACCTGACCATGGCTGTTTTCAACATATATACCTATTGGCTTCCTTTTAAATTAATTAAAGGAGCAAATTAAGGCATAACTGATCAGATGATCACGCATTCTTTTATAATTGTTTGCCATTTATGCAGAGATCTTTTTTTGCGGCATCATATTGGCATTGTGTGTTTGCGTATAGAAGTTTCCCATACTGGCTTGTCTAGTTCTCAACTCATCAGTCATTAAAACTAATCAATGCTTTTTGTGGCTTCAACATCGCTATTATTATTATTATTATTATTATTATTAATTGTAGGACAACTTCAACATTATGGCTTGGGACATTGCATATTCTCATGAAACCAAAGCACGCAGACCTTTGAGGAATTTGCATAGATTATATTTATGGAACAAAGAGAGCTGAGTGGGTTTGCTTCCCAAATGCAGAATTTTTTAAATTTTTTTCAAAAGAGGTCAAGTTTCCAGAACAGCACAAGCCTTTTGAGGCTTTTGTACATTTTATTGGTGCAATAGCAGAGTGTTTCTTGTTGCTGTTTCAGGCGGGGCACGGCATGTTGCCTAGCACCAAGAAGGCATGTGGGTTTTTTTTTTTTTTGTTTGTTTTTTTTTAAATCTGCAGAGACAGAACTGAATGTCTTATAAGCAAGATAGCTGAAGCAAAGAACAAACTGAATACACGTGTATTTTAGCTAGAGGATTGTCTGGTCTTGCCTTTGGATGGGAGCTGCTTGTTCATGCTGCCCGTACTCAACCCCACCCTGATTTGGATTAGTGCCTTCAGTTCAGTCATAAGTGCATGAATATCCTCATATTTCTTCCAAAGATAACTGTGTGTGTTTTTGCACTCTGTTTTGGAACGCTTGATATTGGCTGCAATTATAGATGGCTAGGGAGAAATTCTACTCCCCCATCTCAATCCATTCACTCTGAGTGTTTTACAGTATTGTTTTGCATCTCAAAAAATTGAGTCAAATTATGCATAACATCAGTTACAGATACAGAGCAAATACACCCAGTTCTCTCGGCTGCATAATAAAAAATGATCTCCATAAATTTCTCACTGGCCCTGTTCGTTTTACTGTGGGATTTACTATCGCATTAAAGTGCAATCCTGGCATTTCAGCAGTTTCACTACGTTCTTGTGAGCTTTGCAAAAAAAATGTTGAAAGCTTCTATTAATGCATGCTGTTTTAGTGATTGAGCTGCAGGGTTTAAATATAAATTATTCACTCCTCACTGTTTTTGGTGGCATGAGCGCTAGAAGTGGAGAGACGTGCCCAGTGTTAGCTGTGGAAGTTATGAATGCTGAATGAATGTTCAAAGAGAGAGCTGTGTTCGTAGAGGTGGAGGAGGAGGAGCGAGGCTCTCCTGAAGCTTGCCTGCAGAAGTGTCGCGTGGCTATGGTCGATGAGTCTGGCAGCCACAGCTGCTTCAAATCAACACTCCCCAGAAATAAGCACAAAGAGCTCCCTCATCTTCGGCAGTGCAGACCCTTTTTCCCCTCTTCTATCATTGCATCGTTTCCTCCCTCACTCGTGTACTGCTCCTGGTGAAGGGTGCCGTCACTGCTACTCCCCTGGCTCACTTGTTTACCCGTCCTCATTTTAGTTTAATTCAATTCATTAACCATTTTTTCCTGGGTCAGGGTTGTGGATCCTTCCTTGTTAACACTGGGCATGAGAGAGGAATACACCCTGAATGGGCAAGTTTTTAACATACGATTAGATTAACATTATGGTCCCTGGAGGACTAGTGGTTAGGCCACGGCGCTCTCTTCTCTGCGGCCTGGGTTCGATTTCCGGCCAGGGAACCAACCCCAGCCACTGGGGTTGCACGGGGCAGTGCACTCCCAGTGCCGGTCTCAGGCCCGGATAAAATTGGGGAGGGTTGCGCCAGGAAGGGCATCCAGTGTAAAAACTGTGCCAAATCAAATATGCGGACCAATGATCTGCTCTGGCGATCCCTAACGGGAGCAACCCGAAAGAAGAAGAAAAAGAAAACAAATATAAAGCAAAAGGGATTTGAATATGGGTAGGAAAATGTTGCTGATGCTTCAAGTTCCACAGTTGGTTCCACAGTTGCTATGACGTTCTCTACAGTGTGATCAATTGACTTATTTTTGTTTATCTGTGTATGTATATATTAAATATATCAGCATCTATGTTAGCATAGTTGCTCTGTGACGACCATATGCAGATACATTGTACTTTGTATGTACACATGGCATGGACACCATAATTGACATAATATTCATGTAGCCATTTGGCTAAATAATTAGTCCTTCTGGTCCACATCAGAGCAGCACTGATGTTCATTTGAAGCTGTCGAAGCCAAGGTCAAAGTTCAGTGCTTGGCTCGTTCCTGGGGAATGTAAGCGTTGCAAAACTTGGCCAAGAAAGTGTGAGGAACATGCTGTCCTGTGTTGAGAGCTGTAGTAAATCTGATAAAGTGCTCGACAAGTGGGGGCTGTTGCCCGGGAGGAGCAGGAGACACGTGTACCTGAGCAGTGTCAAGGGTCAGAGGGCTTCCTTTATTTCATTAAAAGTGCTAGTATTAAAAAAAGACAAAAATGTTAAGCTCATGTTCTAGTATCTGGAGCATAAGGTTGTTCAAAATGACAGCAGTGAGTTTGGTATTTCCTGTCTGTGTTTTATTCCTTACTCAATGGTTTTAAACAAAAGCATGGTAGGTAAAGTAGGTAATATATGTTTATTGATACTCTGCATTAAAGGTGGCAGTCATTTTTAAGCCAATAGATGTTTGTATAATTTTTGGCAAATTAATCTTATAATTCTAGCAGATATCATTAAAATATCTGTTAAAAGGAAAAAAAAAACTCAGGTCTCTGGCACCCAAGGTCCTGTCAACAGGATTTAAAAAAAAAAAGCGTACAACTGACCAGGACAAGGTGTGTCTATTTGCCTGTCAGTCATGTTGTTTAGCCTAGGCAGTGGTTTGCGAGTATGTGTTTCAGGGACGTAACTTTGGAAGAAACACTGAAGGAGTTTCAAAATGGCTAGCTTCTACCTAAAACACCAAACTGTATTGAGCTTTATGCCTACAGTTGTGTATGTTCTAAAAAATACGTTTAGAATTTATTAAGAATTTAGGAATTCATACATTCTTGATATCGGGATGAGACATACTATTATTATTATTAAGCTATTTTGACTAGCATAAACGTGAAGAAAATGTCTAGCATGTTGTGTTGAAGGTGAAACATGTTGTGAGTCAGGGAGTACAATCATTCTCCAGAAAATTCTCATATTGAGTTATCTACTGCTAATTCTTTAGGGATAAGACAACTTTGTAACTGACTGAATCAGAGCAGATTGTTGTTGGCATCTCCAAGAATAAACAGGAAGTGTTTGTTTCAGTTGGGAGGCATAGGGTTAAATTAGATGAAGTTATTGTTCAGTCTGTAAAGACATGATCTTCCTATTCCACAGGCTGGAGCCTAATTCAAGGACGGGATCTGGATTGTAGCCCAAATCACAAAAACTGGACTCCATCGATGCTTCCTGTAATGGCATCATTAGAAGAATGTCTGTCTTTGATTTCATGATGATAACCATGTATTGTTAACTTCCTTTTTCTGGTGATTGCTAATTTCAGATGAAAATGACAACACTAAACTGTTTTTCAGCTTCTTGTAAACACATTGCTGAGATTATTCCCTCTGACAGCTGTTTACACATGATATGCCTCCCTAGCAGAAGCTTCATGTAAACACTTCCTATTTGTCCACAGCCATGTGAGTTAATCAAGTGGCTAGGCACGTAGCACACTCATTAATCCCCATGTCTTCAGACAAGGTCCGCTCATTTCAAAGCATTTTGCATCAACAGGACCCCAAGGTCATCCAGGAGGTCAAAGGAGGTCATGATTTGAGACATGCACCTGTTTCTTGGGACTCCTTGTTATACAGAAGATGACTTGCAGATGTGGCATCAGAAGAAATGTAATACACAGGTGTCTGCAGACATCCAGCCATGAACCAAGCTCAAGTTTCCACTCGTCTTGTAACTGCAACACAAATCTGCACTTTATGAACGTTTGATCTGGAGCTTAACAAAGGATGTTTCTACACATGGAACACTTTAGAACCTGCGTGCCTTTACTGTGCTTATAAAAGTAAGGTTGAAAGTAACCTTGGTAAAGTACACCACCATCAAGATCGTCCTTTGGTGTTTTAAAAGATCCATTGATCAGTGGTATGAATATCATGCTGTTTGACCTGTGTATCTGGATTTGAAGTTTCTGTATCAGTGTAATGACATTTGGTATATAGAAACCAGGCATTTGAAGTTCTCTACCAGGAAAAGAAATGCATTTCTGGTTCTGGTCTGCTTGCTTAGCACCACCCAAATGGAACCTGTAAAAGCACTCCAGGATTTTACTGTCAGCCGAATTTACTAAGCCAGAGTTACAAGATGCAACTTTTACCCTAATTATAGATACAATGAGGCTGTATTGGTTAGCCCTAGTTTGAAGTTTCTTGGAGCAGTTGGAGTCAACAGTTGGAAGTGGTTCAGACTCTGCCTCCTGATCTAGTGGCAAGTCAGTTGTAGCAAGTCTACACATTAACTGTTAATGTATGGCTGTTGACAGAATCTATTCATTTGAGTTGTTGGCCTGGAATGATATTTGTGAAAATGTCAATGTAAGACATATATAAGGAAAACTTGTGTGACAGTTGTGACAGTAGAGTAGCTCACTCTATAAATGGAGGACAGACTAATTAAGTTGTGGCAGGAAGACAAGTTCCTGAGCAACATAAATTTGGAAAACTACCACAACCACACAGACAAGGAAAAAAGCTGGGTTGCAGTTGCCAAAGGCCGGAACCAACCTGGTGTAATCTCTGTGTTTGTTTGGATATTGCTGTCTCCAAGTAACTGGGAAGCACTTGTTTTTGTGCAAATTTGGTCTTATAAACAAATTTAGGTTGAGCAATGTGTGATCTCTAATCATTAGTGTGCAGTCCCCAATTTTTCAGTTGCCATTGTCTATAATAATTAATCAGAAACTATGTGATACACAGTCTTATTAGTATCTGTTAGGATCTTAAGTATTGCATTGTGTATCTGAGATCTGAAAGCAATTGGCTTGCTTCATAAATAGGAGATTGAGTTTATGTTTTAGGTCTTATTAGTCCACAAAAGTTTGTGAACCCCTGCCCTTCACATCCATATGTGCTTTTTAAACATGCCATTGCAGATTTAGTTCCCCTTTTGCTGTTATACTAACCTCCACTCGTCTGGGAAGGATTTCCATTAGATTTTGGAGTGTGGCTATGTGGATTTGTCCATTCAACCACAAAACCATTAGTGAGGTCGGGCACTGATGTTGGGCAAGGAGGCCTGGGGCACAGTCAATCCTGTTCCAGTTCATCCCAAAGGTGCTCAGTGGGGCTGAGGTCAGGGCTCTGTGCAGGAAGCTTGAGGTCTTCCACTCCAGCCTTCGCAAACCATGTCTTCATGGACCTCAGTTTGTGCACAGGGATAATGTCATGCTGTGATGTACTGGTGTCCCATCCAGGGTTTATTCCTGCCTCGTGCCCAGTGTTCACGGGAAGAGAAGGCCGTGATATATGAAATAGTGCTACAGTTGTGCTAAATGCTAAATGACAATACTTCATTATCTCTAGGGACATATCCATTATTCCAGTTTCTAGTCTCTATTCCTCTTCTGCTTCAGTGGAAACCACATCTGTCCTCTTACTGCCTTGTTTCAGCACGCAAGGAATATCTTAAATTGTAAGCTGCTGGCAGAAATAACTATCCTGTTATACAAATAATCACATTTATTTTATAAGGCAAGAACTTATGGCTTCCAATAGCCCTAATGAGGAGAGAAATTCCATTCCACTCAGATCTATTTGTGTGGCACTAGCCATCCTCTCCCATCACGGGTGTGTTTTGTTTTGATCCGTCATTATTATAGCATGCACTTTCCAGTGAAAGAAAATGAGAGGGCAGACGCAGTCATCTTCGACACCATGATAGTATCCAAGATGCTAGGTGGGGAGACCACAGCAGAAGTGGTCACACTGCACCGCAAGAGAGCTCGTCACACAACTGCAAACAAGCATGGTGAACTCGTGCTATACTGGAGATGATTACAGTTTACTCTTACAGTGGGGCAGCCACCAACACCAAAACAAGCAGCATGCAAAAACAGGGAAAGTGGAATACTATGATATAAAAATGGATGCTAAATTTACCCAGGCTCCCAAGGAATCTCATTAGCAATCATTACACAATGATGAACCTCTGTTTGATATGAGGGTCAGAGTCATGTTGACAACTTGGCAGAAACATCTGGTTATTCGGCACACACAAGGTTCCATTTACCATCCTAAAGGAATAATTTGTTTGTGTTTCTGGGAGACCACATAAAGACTGTATGTAGAGCCTATAACAGAGAGTTTTTTAAGAACCCTAACCTAAAGGACCCTTGAAGAATCTTTTTTTAACAGTATAAAACCAAACATTTGCATTGGAAGACACAAAAGTAATTGTTGAAGGGCGGCATATAATAAAATCAGGTAAAGCACCATGGACTGGTCCATACTGCAGTGAACATGTTTTCTACCACTCTTGCCCCTTTTCTTTATCATAACCTAAAAAAACAAAAACATCTACAGCGATCAAACCCAATAAAATACAACGAGAGACAGAGGTTCTTTCCTTAATAGTAGGCTTGGACGCCATGACTTCAAATACCCGTAACACAGCAATCCAAACTGCACGGCTGACAGCATCTTAGGAATTACTGGAAGCTGGTAAGGATCTGGACAGTATTCTT